AAATTTATTTTTTTATAAAATGTTTTTAATTTATTGAAAAGAGAAAAAAATTTACTTTACTGTTCAACTTGAAGAATTTTTCAATTTATTTTTTGAAATACTTTCCAAAATTTTTTAGAATAGAAATACCCTTAAAAATAAGTACATAATTAAATGCACAATTTATGCTATAAAAAATTTGTTCCAGTTTTATTAAAATAAATATATTTAATTTAAAGTACGAAAAATGTATTTTACTAAAAACATTTTATTACAAAATTCTTATTGTTTTTATTCATAAAGGTTATTTTCATTTTTAATTATGTCAATTGTTTTTTAAGCTGAATGCAGTTATGTTATTATGCTGGTCTCCTTTTGTCAAAAACGCAATTATGCGATTATGTTTTCCATTATTTTCTACATTAATAACCATTTTAATGATTTTTCAGCTATTGAACTTTGAAGAGCAATATTAAATATATACAAATCTGATGTTATCTCAAATTTGATAAAAATGTCAGTTATGCTGTTATGCCTTTCTTCCACAGATTTTATTGGTCGTCTTTTTAAATTATAACATTCCATTACATTTTGTGTTTATTAAAAATGATTGAAGAACAATATAATAATGTCGGAATACAAATGCTCAATAGAAATTTAAATTTACAATTCTTATTGATCGTCGTCATAAGATGTTGTTAAATCTGAAACATTCGATACTTTTAATTTATGCCAGAAAAAGCGTCTATTTGGTGGCATTAAAGGCAAAAGTTTCTCCACGATATCATTCTTTTTTGCCTCAGGGATTCCTCGAAAATCATTTTTTACGTCAGTTGGTGGGAAACCTGATTTTAAGATTTTTGTCTGTAAAAAATCGAACTGAGGTAAGTCGGAGTTTTCCTCGTAGGATAAATTATAAATTATTTTATGATTTCCTCGATTGAATCTGACTTGTTTGATGTCATGAAGGTAAGGTCGGTTTACTTTATTCTTTAACTTTTGAGCAGATTTATGATCGATCCACAAACTGAAATCATAAGGTGTCATAGATTTCACAATTACGTTTCCTGAATTGGCATTTCCCACTGCATCTTCGAAATCAGTAAAATCATAAATTTTTCCTTTCTTTTTCATAGAGTTTTCAACCTGGTGATGAAAAGCATCAGCGGACATAAAAGTATGACCACTTTCAAAATAATTAAGTTCAATAGATTCAGCTTCAATTTCCTCAGAATTTACAAGGTACACAAGAAAAGAAAATAAACACCAGTTTTTATTTTGAGCTGCACAATTATCTAACCATAGTGTAAGATGCTTTTTGTCCCGATTTTTCAAGAAAAAACTGTGAAAAGCACTGATGATGTCTTCTTTTTTCGGCCTGAGACTGCTTCATGCCAAATTACAGCTATTGGTTTTCGCATATTTTGCTGAGATCCCAAGGGAACGTTTGATTGAAGGCAACAATTCTTCGAGTAAATAATGCAACTTCATATTCTTCCATTTTTGGTAGCATTATAACTTTTTGCAAATCAACGGAAAAGTACCCATTTTCTGATGAAGTGTAAGCTTTTTCGACGTGATTTTGATATTTTTGACGAGCTTGAATTGCATTTTTATTATGACTTGACCATTTATTGCAATCTTCACAGTTTAGGTTTAAATTTTCTTTATTGTGGTTAGGATTATGAAGTCTGAATTTTTCGCATTCTTCGCACTCCTCATGGCCTAATTTTGTGAAGGAAATATTCATTTTGGCTACGACCAATCGGTAACTTTCGTATGAAATTTCGTGTTGAGGATATTTTTCCAGGAAGTCATTGTGCATATTTGTAATTGTTAATTCGGATGATAAATAACGCCTGTTAGGCGCATGAGCGCGACGATAATGCGAAACACAAGGGTGGTAACTTTCAATATGAGCTTCAATTAAATTCTTAATTTCTCCTGACGAAGTACTTTTTGCATGACCTCGATTTTCAACCGCTGACGGAATTAAAGTAATAGGATCCACAGAAGACAACGAATTTTTAATCATTTTATCATTTCCTTCTTTAAAACCCAGCATCGATGAAAAAAATAATTTGCAAACTTGTCGTTTATTGCCTTCATCATCTTCAACGTGATAAGAATAATGATTCTGTCTTTGACGGGTTGCATTTTCGTATCGTCGTTTAACATCTGAAACTGTCACGTGATTTGTTATAAATAATCGTCTTTCAAACATTCCTAAATTCCAAAATACATTGTTAAATTTTTCACGAGTTGCATGAGATGTATGTTCATTACATTTCAATCGGCAATTTTTACAAGTCTCAAGAACAGGATGTTTTTCGCAAAGTTTTTTGACTTTTGATGATTCCTCGTCAGTTTTGTCCTTTTCATTTTTCTTTCTCTTTTTCGTAATTTTAATATCTTCAATACTCGTATTTACAGTCTTACTTCCGGAACATAAATTTGTCGTCTGAATATTTTCTTTTGAAAAACTGTCGTCATTTTCTGCACTCACAAAAGGTTGCCTTTCTAATCTGTCTTGCTCTTCGTTTGTAACAATTAATGAATTTTCACTAACAACTGTACTATTACTGTTTTTTGACAAATCGAGTATTTGCGATGAATTATTATCTGAAGTAGTTTCTACTTGAATCATTGGTGAAATTAGTCTTGATAAACTTTGATTTTCATTTCCTATTTCTTTTAATTCATAATGGTTCGACGGAATATTTAGGCTATAATCGTAATAATTTTCTTGAACTGAAACAGGATGCAACACAGGCACAGTATTATAAGGAGCCATATTTCCAAACTCAATTGGTTGTTGATTAAACGCAGTTGGTTGTTGGTTAAACGCAGTTGGTTGTTGGTTAAACGCAGTTGGTTGTTGGTGAAACACAGTTGATTGTTGATTAAACATAGTTGGCTGTTGGCTAAACACAGTTGGTTGTTGGTTAAACACAAATGAGTTGAATTGGTTTTCTTCTATTGGCGATTCATTGTGATTGAGATTCCCGTAAAGACTATAATTATTGAGATTCATATTCCAATGGTCTGAAATATAAAAAGCATTTTTTTAATTAAGATTATGCTTTTATTTTTTATCATATTTTTTAATTTATAATTTATTTAATTTCAATTTATGAATTTTAAATAATTTTAAAAAAAATTTTTTTAATAATTTAAAATATTTTATTTATTTATTTATTTTATTTATTTTTTAAATAATTTTAAAAATTTAAAAATTTTTATTTTTTTTTATTTATTTTTTTATATTTTTTATTTTAAATTATTTCCGTATTTATTTATTTAAAAATAAATTTACATATATATAAATAAATATTAAAATAAATATTTATAGGGGAATGTAGTCAAGGTTGGCCTACTGTCTAGGTAGGCCACTCGCGTTTTTTTGTCAAGTTCACTAGCGCCACCTACGCGCATTTTTGTCGAAGCTTGTCTTAGTGAAACCTAACTTTTTGTTCAATTACATTTTCGGAAAATCGAAAATTGTGTTTTCTGTGACGTCGGTACAAAAAAAGCTCAAAAAAAGTTTTGTGCATAATGTGAAAAACCATTAATAAAAGATAAAAAACAAATTGAATCGTCAAGGCAAGTATGCAGAAAATTTGTGGGACTCATGGTTGAAAGGAAAACAAAGTAAAAAATCGAATCCCGAAACGTATTTCTTTACGGTTACAACAATTCGGTAATGTTACTTACTGTCAAGGTCGGCCACTATGTGTTTAAAATGCGCAAAGATGACGACGAGCTACTTCATTTGCAAAAACTGCAATTCTGAATAACTCATATTATAATTGATCATCTTATTAATATTTTTATTTAATTTTATTAATATTTTAGTGCAAAACTTTTTTTTATTTATATTTATTTTTTTATATTGTTTATTGTTATTATTTTGTTATTTCATTAAGTTACAAACTGTAAACAATAAAGAATGAATTTTCCGTAACTCCAAACATGTTATTTTATTTTTTAACGATTAATGCCCTTTGAATTTTAAACATGGCCGACCTTGACTGTAATGGCCAACCTGGACTACAAATTTTTTTTTTTTTAAATCTTTATAACTTTTTCATTTTTAAACCTGTCAATTTACTTTGTACAGAAAAAATGTTCCTATTAAACAGGACTTTCCAACCATATACTTCAATTGTCCAAATTCATTTTTAAAAAAAAGTTATAAACAAAAGTCAAAAAGGTGGCCGACCTAGACTATGTTCCCCTATTTATTTATATTTATTTCTAATGAAATTAATTTACTACAAAATTTCTTACTAAATTTGTTTTAGAAAAAATTCTTTTAAATTTATAATTTATTATTATGTCATTTAATTAGTTTTCTTTATTGCAATTACTCTTGCTTTAAGTTAGGTTATATTAAAATCAAGTTTGAAGTTTTTCTAACAATTAAGAAATATATTTATTTTAAAATGACTATAATTAAGTATTGTAATTAAATATAGTGATTTCTTCTTACCTTCATTAAAATTCATCGTTATTCATTAATTGTCAATCTCGAATATAACTATAAACACATTTCGATAATATATAAACAAATGTCAAAATTGTTGATAGGAAACCATTTTGTTTTAATCATTCGATATCTCGAATTAAATTATGCGAGATATTTGTTATTAATGCTTTTTTGTTTGCAAATATGAACTTCACTCGAATTATTTACAAAGTGAGAAAGCCCTAATAGCATGATGCTTTTTTATATTGAAACAAACTACGGTTCTCGGATGATTTTACTTAATGAAAAAGACTTAACGGCTTTTAATACATTTTTTCTTAGAATGTTATATATATATATATTCCTATGTATTTTTATCGGGATTACAAATTATTTGACAGTTAAGGCTTTTTAGTATTAATATTCTAACCTTTTCCAATCTTTAAAATGTAATTTCAGAAAAAGTAATAAGATTATTACATTTTTATCACGTGTAATAGACGCAAAAATTTTTAACGAATCTATTAATATAAAAAACTCATTTTTTATAAAAATGTCAGTTAAAGACGTTTTTCCTTTGTACGGCAGAAAAGGAAGAAAGAAGATGAATATCTGAGGACAGGAAGAAGAAAGAAGAATCTAATGACGAGGAAAAAACAATGAAAAGAGCAAAACAAACACTAGGTGGAAATGAGGAAATAGACAAAAGAAATAAAAGAGCAGAGGAAAATCATGAAGGAAAAGAGCAAGAAGTAAAAAAGATGGATGAAAATGATAAAGAGGAATGTGAAAATAGAGAAGAAACTGAAGAACAGGAAAGTAAAGATGAAATTAATATAGATGACCTTAAAAAGAACAATGAGCAACTTCAGTTATTATTATTAAATACTCAAAACCAGTTCTCTCAATTTATTAATTCGACTGTATTGAATAAAAAAGTACAAAAAAGGAATCAGAAAATGAGATAAAGAAAAGAGAAGAGGAAAGTAATGATAAAGAGGAAAAGATCAGAGAGATGGAGAGAAAAGAGAAAGAAATAAGAGATAGAGAAAGACGCAAGAGGGAGAATGCTGAAAAAGAGGCAAGATTGAAAAAAGAAAAAGAGAGACATGAGAACGAGAGACAAGAGAGAGAGAAAAAAGAAGAGGAAAGTAATGATAAAGAGGAAAAGATTAGAGAGCTGAAGAGAAAAGAAAAAGAAATAAGAGAGAGAAAGACGCGAGAGGGTGAAGGCTGAAAAAGAGGCAAGAGTGAAAAAAGAAAAAGAGAGACATGAGAACGAGAGACAAAAGAGAGAGAGGAATAAAAGGGAACAGATAACTAGTAGACGAGAAGAAGATCTCCTGGCTCGCGAAAGAAATGTGCTACTCAGAGAGCAGCATCTGATGAACATGCAAGCCACATATGTTAGATCAGGATACTTATCCATCCATTCATTTTATATTAGATTCGACACAAGTCAGGAAAATGTTTGGAAAAACTTTTAATTTCATAAATGTAGGGGGGAGAATTATGTTAGGTAAAATTTCAAAATTGAATGAAATCCAAAATATAAAAAAATAATTAAAATAAAAAAAAGTTTTACATTATTTTTCAAAGTAAACTGGCAATAGAATGAATTTCTTGTGGTATTTTTTCATGATGTGTGTAAAATGTGTGATTGGACAGTTAAAAGAATTCTACTGTTCAAAAACATCGATATTTTATTGTTCAGTAATTTTTATGGAAAAATTTCTCTGGTTAAGACACTACACTAGTATATTCCCATGTTTTTTGCACCGCTTCGAATCCAAAGATAGAATTTCCATTTAAAATGAAAAATTATACCACTAAACTAGAATGTTTTTATGTCTTTTTTCCCGCTAAATCTTAATTCGAAGTCAGATTTGTCAAATTGACAAAAAAATTTGAGATAAACTAAAAAAAGTACCAAAAAACAAAAAAATCGAAAAAAAATTTTTTTTAACACTATACAAAAGTATTTCTATGTAATTTTTCCACCAAAATCTGAATCCGAAGTCAGAATTAATGAATTAGCTCAAATTTTGAAAATAAACTCAAAAGGCTATCAAAAAAAAGATATTGAATTTATTTTTAAATGTTAATTTTGAATTTAATAGATTGGATTCATTTACGTATTTTGGCTGCAACATTGCGCCCACTTTATGCTTTTCAGAATACAAGTTTTTATATTTACTATTTGTTTAGGTAATATTGCCGCAAGGTTTTGATGGAGGCAGCATTGATTGCGCCGGTACAATTGTTAATAACTATTTATTATATTTGTTATTTAGTAGAAGAAGAAAAGAAATAATAATTTCTTTTGTCCTTCTAACTATTTTTATAAGCATTTCTTAGTTAAAGGAATTCTCATGAAATGTTAATTTTGGCTCCGAATTCGAATTCAACGGAAAAAATACATCGGAATATACCAGTGTATGTTCTCGGTAAAAAAAAATTTCTTCTTTTTACATTTTAAGCATTTTTTCAGTTTTTTAAGTTTATATTGTACCAATCTGACAATTTTAACTTTGGATTTAGGTTTAGCGAAAGAAAATACATGGAAAGAGACTAGCGTAGTCACTTAATTGTTTTGTTCATTTTTGATTTTAATTTGTTTTTTGAAACGTTTTTTCGAGTATATCTCAAAAATAAGAGCCAGTCTGACAAATCCGACTTTGAACTCAGGTTCAGTGGGAAAAATACACGGGAGTATACTAGTATAGTCTATTTTTTGTATGCCTGTGTAATCATCAAAAAAATGAAGAAACGATTGTTTTAAACAATAGGACTTTTAACTATCCAGTTTATTTGTAATGTTCTAATGTTATAAATTTTCTATCTTTGTGTTTAGATGCAAGCGAGCGGATGAGAACGCGGCCGCGGAAGAGGTCGTGGTTCAGGATGAGGAAAGCGAGGCGATCAATTTTACAACCGATTCAATCCGTGCACCCAATTTCAACAAAACCTAAATTCCCGATTTCGTTATTAAACACGTAATAACTATTTAAATATCTCTTTTATATAGATCTTGCGAATCAGATTTTTTAAAAAATCCCAAACAAATTCACCAGTTTTTGTTTTACATTTTTGTTAACTTTGAAGTTTTTTTTACTTGTGTGAAATTTTACACAACCACTTTTTATATGTAAAAAAGACTGCTTTTTGGATTCTTTCTTTCGGCTATTTAAAAATTGCACAAAGGTAATAAATTTTGTTAGAATTCCTAATTTTTACTTCTACAAAAAAAGTAAAAAATTTGGAGCATACTGTTTTAAAACAACACCCCTTTTTTTACTAAACAACAAAGAATAATTAAAAAAAATTTATTTATATAACTTGCTCAAAACATGTATAGTTTAAAACTTAAGTTTTCAAATAACTCAAAAACATTTAGTTATCATAATTGGAGATAAAATCTCAGTAACTTTGTACTATTATTATATTATTTTGTATTAGCAAAACAATTACAAAATAAAAAAAAGTTTAAAGGATCTTTATAATTTACTTTAATTTTCAAAATTAAATAAATAAAATTACAATAATACTTTTAATTCATTTAAAAATTTATTTTTTAAATAATAAATAGAAGAAAGTGTTAAAATGTAGGTAATACATTATACGGTCAGTGCATAATCTCGCTAGCATAAATTCCAGATTTTATGAAAAGAAATTCCGGAGCAGAAGTATTTAAAAGATGTGTGTTTGTAAAACATTTGACAACTGAGACAATGGTGGAAACATTGGAGGAAGTGATTCGGTGACCGAAAAATGGAAAATCGCCATAGTGGATTCGGGATGTACAATTACAAAAATCGTCAACCAGGCAAACGCCTGCCAAAATCTTTCTGGGACATGAGTTCGTGGCAATCGTTCTGCAAATATTTCTATCAACTACATTCGAATATATGCAGTCGAAGCTTGCGCTTTGTGGATTCCTGTCGTTTCTAGATTAATATTCATGGTGATGAAAGTCAACAAGAAAGAGGCTACGTTTTAAGTCGTAAGTTTGTTTTCCAAGATATTTTTCCATTTTCATATAAAAGTTTATGATTTTTCTTATTATTTATTTACATATATTAAAATTAATTTTGAAAGTGTATAAATTAATATCCATAAATTTTCAGAGTGAATTGACATCGCGAATGCCTCGTAGAATTTTACGTAATAGAACAGTTTCCGGACTCCAGGAGAAGGAAGAGGAGAAAGAAAAGAAATATTCAATCTCGCGATTAAATGACAGAACAATCATCATTTTCCTTCATTTTACAATGATCATCGGGGACTTTACAACAATCGTCACAACATTCACAGTCTTCACGCACATTAACACAATCCTAAACGAGATAGGAGTGGACAAGGGGACCCGAGATGCATGCATATTCCCTAATCGCCAAGTTGTCGAATGATCAAATAGTCGAATGCCAAGTAATCGAATGGACAAAACGTCGAATGCTAAAAACATCGAATCGGCATTTAGTCGAATGCTAAAAACATCGAATCGTCATGTAGTCGAATGCTAAAAATATCGAATCTTCAGTTATTGATAATTGATAATTCGAACAGATGGCGTTTCGACTATTTAAGCATTCGACGAACGGACTATTCGATGGTTTTACCATTCGACTAAATGACGATTCGACGTTTTGAGCATTCGACGTTTTTAGCATTCGACGTTTTAAACATTTGACGTTTTGAACATTCGACGAATTGAGAATTCGATGTTTTTAGCATTCGATTAACTGAAGATTCAATATTTTTAGCATTCGACTACATGACGATTCGATGTTTTTAGCATTCGACGTTTTTATCATTCGACGTTTTGAACATTCGACGTATTGACAATTCGATGTTTTTAACATTCGACGAATTGATAATTCGACGTATTGACAATTCGATGTTTTTAGCATTCGACTAAATGCCGATTCGATGTTTTTAGCATTCGACGTTTTGTCCATTCGATTACTTGGATCCCGATTAGGGGATATGCATGCATCTCGGGGACCTGTTGTCGTTGAAACTGGCCGTAAGTCGTCAGAGTTTCTTGTTTGGGAATCCCTGACAGCGGCGAGACACTCTGGTATTCACAAACTGCTGGCTACCGATTGCCTTGTCAAGTTCATAGATATTATGCATCCGCTATATCACAAGCTTTCGCACATTCTTGCCAGATGAGCGAATTCATCCTTTTATTTTAATCTTTTTGTAGTTATTTATTTGTTTTTTAAAAATATTATTTGAATAAATAAGGTTTTAATGAATAAAATCTTGGATGAATTGAATTTTTAAAAAGAAAATTTTGAATAATTAAATTTTTCAAATAAAAGTTAAGAATGATTACATTTGAAAGCGAAATTAAAAATTTGAAATAGTTGAGTTTTCAGTGGATTAAATTTTTGAACTGATTTTTTAATCAACTAAAAATGTTAAATAATATTAAATTTTTAATTAATTGAAATCTTTATAAATAAGATCAGACTTTTGTCTGTAAATTGCAAAGAAATTGAAAATTCCTATTTAGTTTTTCTATTCAAGTAGTAAGAATTCCAAAAATGACAATAAAAAAAATTATGTATGTATGTATGTCTGTCCGCGATATTTTGTCCGGGATAAACACAAAGACTACTTGACCGATTAAAACGAAACTTTACAGTCTCTTAGGTATTGGTCTAACTTAAATTTATAGCCATATCCGATTGAAAAATATTAAGCTGAACGAAAGTGATAGCTTTTTTCACAAACTTCAAAAAATTGAAAAAATGCAAATTTTTTAAATTTTTGTCAAATAGATGTGACACTTTTTGTAGCTACTTTTTAATGTAAATACAACTAATTTTTACTATAAAAATGAAATATAAATAATTAATCCGAATTTTTAAGCCAAAATCATATTTTTGATTTTCGACCAAATTTTTAATTAGTTTTTTTCAATATTGTTTAATTTTTTATGAAGTTGGTATTGATATCGGTTAATGTTTTAAAATTTCAAATTACATTCATTACATTTATTTTATTAACAAGTTTAGAGTCATGAATTTGATGTCTATTACAATTTTTCTAAAATCAATTAACGTGAGTTTGCAAATAATTTGTGTATTGTTATTTTAATGTTTTAAGTTTGGAAATTTCATAGCATGTATTTTCATATTTCATTTAACGTAGAAAATATATGTATATGTTCAATATAAAGGGTACAGTAAAAGCATCAATAAAACTGAAATTTAACTTCAGCGGGTA